AGGGGAGCAGTAGTTAGACAAGGCCGTCAGCTACTTAACACTCACGAACTATGAACACTGAATAATATAAATGTTACATCCTACCTAATAATATAACTAAGTCAAATAATAATATAAAGCAATATATTTACGATTTAGCTAATATCGCAAATATAACAATATAAAATTATATGAACAGGTAATATACATTATGTACATTGTTTACCCATTCTGGGTTGCAACATATATATATAATATATATAGATATATATATATATATATATATATATATATATATATAATATATATATATAATATATATATATCTATGTCGTGCTGAATATGTAAAACTGGTCAATTAGCAAGAACTCATTTAAAATTAAGTCCTTTCTAAAATTTTCTCTTATACGTCTAAAGATATATTTTTTTCATTAATGTTAATGCAAAAATTTTTAATTTTACACCAAAAGGATCTTAGAAAACTTACCTAACCTTATTATAAAAACAACAATTTATTTTAGCCTACCCCAACTAAATATATTTTAGATTTGTTTACAATAATTTAATACTAAACAAACACAGTGAAATATATTTTTTTCGTTAGGTTCAGAATGATTTTGGCGAAATTATTGCATACACAAATTTTCACTTGTCCTATATGGCAAGATGAACGTTGCTATTTAAGCCAAGATCGCAAATTCTGCCTATTCGGCACGACATATATATATATATATATATATATATATATATATATAATATATAATATATATATATATATATATACGTATATATATATATATATATATATATATATAAATATATATATATATATATATATTATATATATATATATATATATATAAATAATATATGAGGTCAAAGAGCTAGCTCTCCTGCGCAGCCAGGAGATTTTAACAATGCAAGGAATTCGCAAGAGCAGCGAAATATACACAAACACTGATCTCTGGCTGACAGAGACTCGAACCTACGAACCTTGAAACAAGGTATGCAGTGCTTTACCCTTCTCACCTCACTGAATTCCTTGCATTGTTAAAATCTCCAGTTGGTCGATGCATGCATGGGATGAGATGAAAAGCTGTAAGCCTTTCCCATGAAAGCTGGCTGCCTTGGATCAACGTCTAGCGTGAGCTAGGAGCCAAGGTATTGTCCAGTGTGGTGAGAATGGAAAAGCACTGCGTACTTTGTTCCAATGTTCGTAGTTCGAGTCTCCCTCGCCAGAGGTCAGTGTTTATATATATATATATATATATATATATATATATATATATATATATATATATATATATATATATATATATATATATATACCAGAGGCGTGCTAACACTACAGTTATGAAACTGCAACATTAACTCCCCTCCTTCAAAGTGCAGACACTGTACTTCCCATCTCCAGGACTCAAGTCCGGCCTGCCGGTTTCTGTGAATCCCTTCATAAATGTTACCTTGCTTACACTCTAACAACATGTCAAGTCCTAAAAACCATCTGTCTCCATTTGCTCCTATCTAACACCCTCACTGGCGCTTGATGGAGGTTCAAGCCATTCGCACGCAAAGCCTTCTTTACCCCCTCCAACCATTTCTAACCGAACCCTACCCCGCCATCCCGCCACTACAGATTTATACATTCTCAAAGTCCTGTTTCGTTCCACCCTCTCTATATGTCCAAACGAACTGAATAACTCCTTCACAGCCCTCTAGTTAATAATTTTGGTAATCCCACACCTTCTCCTAATCTTCAAACTACGGATTCTCTGCATTATATTCACACCACACATTGCCCTCAGGCATGACATCTCCACTGCCTCCAGCCTTCTTCTTGTTGTAACATTCACAACCCATGCCTCACACCCATACAAGAGCGTTGGTATAATTATACTCTCACACATTTCCCTCTTTGCTTTCATGGGTAAAGTTTTTTGCATCCACAACCTCCTCAGTGCACCACTCACCTTTTTCCCTCGTCAATTCTTTTATTTATCTCATCTTTCATAGACCCATCCGCTGACACGTGCACTCCCAAATATCTGAATACATTCACTTCCACCATACTCTCTCCCTCTAATCTGATAGTCATCCGTTACCTAATTTTTTGTTGTTGTCCTTATCACCTTACTCTTTCCTATATTCACTTTTAATTTTCTTCTTCTACATGCCCTACGAAAATCATCAACCAACCTCTGCAACTTTTCTTCAGAATCTCCCACAAGCACAGTGTCATCAGCAAAGAGTAACTGTAACAACTCCCACTTCGTATTAGATTCTTTATATTTTAACCCCACACCTCTTGACAACACCCGAGCATTCACTTCTTTTACAACTCCAACTATATATATAATGAACACATCTGTGTCCAAGGCCTACTTTTACTGGGAAATAATCTCCCTCTCGACTCTTCACTGCTTTCAATAACTAACCTCCTATTCCATACATTTGCAACATCTGTCACATTGCCCCCCCTATCCACTCTGTCATACGGCTTTTCCAAATCCATAAATGCCACAAAAACCACTTTACCCTTATCTAAATATTGTTCACCTATATGTTTCACTGTAAACACTTGGTCTACACACCCCAAACCATTCCTAAAGCCTCCTTGTTCACCTGATATCCTGCTCTCCGTCTTAATCTTAATTCTTTCAATAATAACTCTGCCATACACTTTACCAGGAACACTCAACAGACTTATTCTCCTATAATTATTACACTCTCGACATATATATATATATATATATATATATATATAATATATTATATATATATATATATATATATATATATATATATATATATATATATAATATATATAATATTATAATATATATATATGAATGCAGTAATATTAAGGAAAGTCTGAAAAAGAATACGATGTACACAAAGGCATCTTGATGGGCCTGAACAAAGACAGTGGTAGCAAAAACCTTGAAAAACTAGAAAATGTGTTGACAGGAAAATAAGAATGATGTCTGATGTCTCTCTCTGTCTCTCTCTCTTTCTCTCTCATACACGTACAACACATGCACGCACACATACGCACACGCACACACACCACACACACACACACACACACACACAAACACACACACACACACACACACACACAACACACACACACACACACACACGCACTCACACACACACACACACACACACACACACACACACACACACACACCAACACACACACTAGCTGAGGTGACAAGAAGAGCTCACTCAAGTTGAGCAAAGTTACTTGTTATGGGCGACTTCAAGCACTGGGAGATTGATTGGAAAAACCTGGAGCCACATGGGGGTCTTGACACATGGAGAGCCAAGATGATGGATATGCTACTGGAAAACCTCATGCATCAACAT